ATGCGCAGTAACATGCTATTAAAAAGCGATCTCTAAGATGGTCCCGATGGTGGTTCCATTCCGAAGTCAAATAACATTTCAGAGTCAGAGCCACAGAACGGCAATAATTACATCATCCAGCAATAATCCAGCAAGACACACCCACTAAACACACATTTAACATGCAGACTAATGAGAGGATTAATCAGCTGGATTCCTGTTATAAGTTTATGGGATGTTTTACACTAATGCTCGTAACTCTTTTCAGCTGTTCCTGTGTCTTGCGGTTCTTAATCCTGACAGTATCCAAAGGGGAGGTCTGTGTCCTCGTTTCCGGACCACGCTCATGAATAAGCATTAGCCTCGCAATCTCCGGGAGCCCCCCCGACGAGCAGGAGAAGTTGCTTATTTAATGAGTGTGCCACGATAGTAAATATTAGCGCTGTTCTGCGAAGGGGAGACATCATGAAGGCTGCTGAAATCTGTGCTCATCAGAAGTTGAAAGAATGGAAAGACGATAAATATTCTCTTTTATAAAGCGGTGCTGTGGGGCTGGGGCTAAATCCGGGTTTGGAATCTGGAAGCGGAGCCAACGCCGGAGCAGCCAGCGAGCTCCAAAGTATTCAGACTAGAGACACTTTAGGCTCAATCGCTTTCCAACCACTTCCCCAGCACGAAACCCTGGCAGACCTGCAGCGTAATCTCCTCTAAACGCTTTTATTAAGACTTCTAATTGCGGCTCGGGCTTTCTCCCTTCAGGAGAACAGGCAGAAGAACAAAAACAGGGCTTATTCACCCCAAAACAGGCTGCAGGCGGATGGCACGGCAGAGGCACAGGGCGCTTTAGTACACAAGAGCTATACTGTGCGGCTCAGTGAAGATGCTTCTCTGATTTGTGGCATCAATCTGACTGAAAGAAACGCAGCACATGACAAGCATTCTGTGGGAAAACAGCCTAGTCGCATCCAGGTAAAGCCGTGGTGATTGTTACTGGCAAAAGCAAGAATTCAATATATTATTTCCTATGACAGGAACAGCTTTATGACAATGCAACACTTTCATAATATTTCATACCCACACATCTGACTGGAACAATGAAAGCTTAGGAAGCAATCACATCGAAGCCTTAAGGAAACCTTTCATTGCACACAATCACAATGCAGTCAGTCATTTCCTCAGTCAGACGGCAGTGGTTTTTTTTTTAACACATTAAAGGATCTGTGTTAATGCATCGCCATCGCCCAGGCACTCCAAAAGAAGAGACTGCACTACTTAAAAGATAATGAGGAAACAATCTTGGCAGGTGCGATTGATCCCACTGTTTTATAGCGAAGGGATTATCAAAGGATTATCTAACAATAATTATGCACCCAAGGTCGACACGCCGCTTTCATGTTCACACTGTGAGTGGCAGCGAGGTGTGTGTGCGATGGAAGACGGTGAGAGGAGGTAAGGGTGTGCAAGTGTGAAAGGTGCCTGTCGATGTGCTTTAAACAGGGAAATGAAGCTTGTTGTGAACCTGATCGCAAAATATCACACAATACCAAAAGTCACTTATCAGCGCCGAACACACGGCAGTGGATTCAAAGCACAAACAGACGTCTCCTGCGCCAGTGGCAACACCAACTCCTGGGAATCCCCGGCATGGAGAATCTTAAAATCTGAGTGGCAAGGAGACTCGAAATCGTGGCGTCTCTGAGGCTTTGAGGAGATCAGGTCACACCCCTGGATGGAGCCTTTGGGCGATGAAGTGATGCCTGGTGACACCGGAGCATTACCACATTCTCTGCACGTTGATTGACCTCACACTGGGAGATTACACATTAAGACCATCGCTTTGTCTCTCTAACCACCGCGTTTCACCATCATTGCAGAGCCTGCAGGAAGTGAGTAAGCACGAAACGTATTGTTAGCTGTACTCAGCGTGCCATGTAGCAATCTTCTAAAAGTCTCTTTTGTTGCCTGTGAAGCTGTTCCAGCCGTCTTTCTTAAACAATCTGACAGGAGGGAGGGTGGACTGATGTTAAAATCTAAAACAAAAGATAGAAAAGTGGATGTTTGACAGCAGATTTTTTCCTTTGATTATACTTTTAAAGACTGAATGATTTCATTATCTGAGCACCTACGCCTCGCCTTCAACTGATGTACAACACAGTATCTAAAAGACTCAGTGAACAGCTGCTGTAACTCTGCTCCGCTCCTATGGGACTTCTAAACATGCCACAGTTGAAACCAGAATGATGCAGCTCGGTAGACAAGGTGGACTGGTATGTTGTGTTATTAACATGCTGTATACATGTATACAAACGTTAGTCGGAACAGTGGTGGAAGCAGCCAATTAGATGACAGGACAATGGATGTTTAGTCTCTGATTAGTCGGACTGATGGAGTCAGCTTTGCTTTGCAGGAATCCAATTCAACAGTCGTCGTTGGTGCTGCGATGCAATTGTGTGCAGTAACTAGGAATCTCAGTAGAGGACAGTGGTTCCTGGACATTTTTCAGCCTGGGATGGATTACTGGAATTTATCAGGCAGTGACCAACAGTCTAAAGAAGACACACAAGCAGTCTTATCCTGTGGAGACGGTGGCTTTAAGGGTCGGCTCACCCAAATCACACACACACACAAAGTACTGCAGAAACTTTTGCTTTCATCTGCTTAAGGGGTAACTTTGGTATTTTTCAATCTGGACCCTATTCTCCTCTGTATGAGTCCAAGTGACAATTTGGAACAACAATTTCTGAAGTTATTCCAGTATTGAGTGACACTGCTGCAGCCAGCAGCTGTAATACAGACTGCAATGTAACCATTCAGGGCATGTTCACACGTCAATTTACATCCACTTTAAGTGTCTGTTTTTGTCACTGACAGGCTCAGATTGTTGTGATAAATGTCTGATAACATTATAGAAAGGATCCCTGCAGAGACAGACCATTTTGTTCAAGAAAAAGATGTTTTTGATTAACCAGAAACAGCCCCAAAATCTCTATCGCCAAACCCACCAGACTCCATTTAAATAAACAGTAATTTTAGCGTGTATAGAGGCAGCATGTTTTCACATCTAACTGGGTGAATTAATGGTTTATTTCAACCAATCCAGAGTTGATGATTGTTGGACCAGTGGGAAGGCCAATCAATATTGTTTTGTGAGTTTTATTTTGTTTCCATCTACTTTGGATAAAGTCTATTTTACACTGGTAAAATTACTGTTTCTTTAAATGGAGTCTGGTGGGTTTGGCTATGGCTGTTTCTGGTATTTCAAAAAAGGTTGTTACTCTTTAACAAGAAGGTCTGTCTGTAGGGAACATCTCCATTTTGTTGTCAAACACCTGGAATAACAATCTGAGCCTATCAGTGGCAAAAACAAGTACTTTTATTGGACATACAGTGACCACGCACAAACCCCCAAGTGGTGGGGCAGTAAAGTTGATTTGATTTGATTTGATTGGTTGCATTGCAGCCTTTGTTATGGCTGCCAGATGCAGCGCTCTCGCTCATTATTGGACTAATTTAAAAAAACTGGTTTCCCCATCAGTCACTCAAGAAACAAAAATATGGGCAAATAAAAGTCCAGTTGTAGAAATACCCTTTTACTTTTGATAATTTGAGTTTCTACCACGCCAGCACAATGGTGATGAAGTTTTGTCTACACCACTAAAGCAATAAAATACTTTAATTTGAAACAAAAAACAACCCAAAAATATAAGTTTTTCCTTTCACCAAAAAATGTCCAGGTTTTGCGGGATTCATACTTCTAAATCGAATCGACACCATACCTACAGCATAGGCTCTGTGTCGAGCAGAGCCTATGCTGTAACCTGATGTGCACCTCCCCAGAAACATAATTATAGTCATGACGATGCAGACCTCCCAGCTATTTTTATAAGTTGAAACCATTTCCCTCAGTGGTAATGAAGCTTTTATTTAATTTCACAGATAAGAAACAATAAATTGTGAAGACAATAAAGCCTCCACTAAAATAGCATTTTAAGTCGTGTGTGATTTATCCTGGCTTCATATGAGCAGAGGAAATCTCTGCTAGCCGCTAGGCTAATTTATACAATGTGAAATGCCATAGGCTTGTGCTAATAACGTTAGCATGTTTTATTTGTTTGGAAAACATGTTTAGTATAAGACAGTTGTTTTGTCAGTGAACCTTGTGAGCTGTAATGGAGCTGAATTTTGTAACGCTACCTTTGTTAAATGTTGCTGTTGTCCCTGGCTGGTCCGCTAGCTGCTAGGCTAATTTATACAATGTAAAATGCCATAGGCTTGTGCTAATAACGTTAGCATGTTGTATTTGTGGGGAAAATGTGTCCAGATAAAGACAAGTGTTTGTCTGTGAATGCTGCGAGTTATAGTGAAGCTGATTTGTGTACTTGTGTTTGAAATTGTCTCTATTAAGCCATGTTGAATTTGTGTTTAATGTGTGTTTAATGTGTGTTTTGAATCAACAAACCTGTACAGCACTTCACAGAAACCTCCGACGCCGCCTAGTGTTTTGGAGGTGTAACTGCAGAGTGTACAAATGCTTGCAACGGCATAGAGCTGACACACAAGTATAAATCCCGTTTTAGTCTTGATAATCCAAAGACCTCACTGTCTTATTGAGTTATTGATGCTTTAAATATCACAGACAAAACTCAGTTCACCTCCATTGTGTTGGGATGCAGAATTCTCAGCTGCAGATAAGAGAAAGTTTCTCCATTGCTTTATACCACACAAGCTAGGTTGAAAACATGATTTGGGTGAACCTATCATTTAAAGGAGAGATTATTTTACATTATTGCCACTATTCCTATCAGTCAAAAACCAACTGGTTAAAAATAAGTCCCGAGCCCCACAGTCTAAGAAACACTGCCACAGTTTTTTCCTTCCCTTTGTCACTTGGCATTGACAGTCTCTCATGATCTTGGAAAGCATGTGTGTATGACTAAAGTGGGTACAAGATGTCGAACGTGTCGAATGTGCTGGGGGAGGTGTGTAGATGCGTCACTGACACAAAGGGGTGTGAGGCTCACCAGTTGTGGAAGAGATGTTGACGTCAATGCTGATCTCTGGGATGCCGCCTCCCTTCAGCGCCGCCACACAGGTGTATGTGCCGAAGTCAGTGAACTTGAGGTCTATGATGTCCAGGTTGGTGGTCCCGGGGGAGATGTCGGGGTCCGTCTGGGTGATGACCATACGCTCGGAGCTCCGCAGGGCACGGCCATTCTTCAGCCAGCTGAAAGTCAGCTCCTCTGGAGGGGTGGCCTCCACCTGCAACGTTCAGCATGTCGTTATTTGTGACTTACTAAAATCTGTCATTATATCATATTGTCACTGTGGGGCTCCCTAATCTACTACGTAAATACCAACCCCCTGGAATAGATGACATCGCGATGGGGTCTAATCATCAAAGACTTTTCACATTTCTCATACTTATGTGCTCATGTAGATAAATATTCTTTTCTCTCAGAATGAGTCTCGCCCGATTGAAATAACGTTACGTGGGATCTGCCGGTTGACCAACGTGTCCCGGTGGCGCAATAAATGTCACGAATCTATCAATCAACCAGTCTTAGATTGTCACTGCACACATTCGTCAACAGTTTGGGTGATCTCAGCTTGCCTCCAGCTCAAGGATGGATTAGGCCTGAAGTTGTGAGCTGCAGTCTATCTGCAGAATCTGTAATAGTGTTACGGTTAAAGGATAAACCTCCGTGTGTTTATGTTTCTGTACTGTTTTATCACTTTTATTTCATTAGGCCTGTCGTGATATCTGAGAAACAGTTATTTTATTTTACTCTCACAACAGAGGAAAAACCAACTTGTGCTGCCTGATCTCAAGTCCTGTCGAGGCTGCATTAAATGCACTTATCAAAATGTATCTATTGTGTTTTATTGTTGCACCACTTACTTATCATCACAGCGGTACAATCATAGATAAAATCTGACAGTCGTCTTGTCCCACACCTTGCCACAGCAACACTAATATAATGCAGCTATGTGCGCATTAAAAAGAGAACTGAAGCAGATATTTAAAGGTAAGGCAGAAGTTAATGTCTCCAGTAACTAATTACTAGCAGTGGGGGAAAAAATCGATGCAGCAAAGTGTCGCGATATTTATGTGTGGCAATATCGTATCGTCACAAAGCTGAGGTCGCCTCCTTGAATAATAAAATCAATTGCTTTTTCAGCCCACTAGATACATTTTGCTGCAAATAAAATGACTGAAGTGAGATGAACACACTGAAAACTTTCTCTTATTAGGGGCCTTAAACATGCCACATTTTTCCCCCGCTCAAATTCATTGTTTTCAGTGTAGACACACAGCAGGCACACTCAAACGCCAGAGCAACACTGTCACTTGCGTACCCTGAGATAAACTGAGTTCAACTCTTGGAACGGAACAGCGCGTACTAGGGTTGGGTCGGTATGAGAAGAAAAAAAAACGGTCCGGTTTTTGGAAAAAAAAACGCATCAAGTCAGTAATGCTCGCTGTGCGCTTGGCGAAGAGGCAGACACAGGTGCCCACAGACTCGGGCGTACTAGCGGACTCCGTGTAAAAATGTCCGTGAAAAATCCCCACGATGTGAAAAATACATGGCAAACAGTCTTTTGTGTGACACTGGTGCGCAGAGCAGAGTCCGCGCAGTTGTGCTTTCCGCGTACAGAGCTTGCGGATGTCCACTTTTACCGGGCGGACCTCTCTGGCGTCCACTCCGCATACGTTCCGCCTGAATATGCGGTCCGGTTTGTGTCAAAAAAAAAAACAAAAAACCCCCGTCCAAGACAAATTGGTATTACCGAGAACCGACCCAAACCTAGCGTGCACAGCATGTCATGTGACAAGGACCAACCAATCACAGCCAACAGATAACTTTTCCTTCTTCCGTAAATACCAATCTGTGATAAATGTGTAAAAGTTGGTCGTTGCTTAGCAACCTCACACGCAACCTGCCTCCATGTTCTTGAAAGCTGGCACAGAAAAGGCACAAAAGTAGCACCCAGCGCCTGACCTCATGTTTTCCAGGCAGTTAATAATGCGGCATGTGTACAGCCCCTTCGATAAAACAGAAGTTTTCTTTCAGGGACATAATTTACAGTTGAAAAAAGGTAATTAATCGCAGTATATTTTATCGCAATACTCAGCGTATCGTAACATATCGCTATTGTATTGTGACTTAAGTATCATGATAATATCGTGTTGTGGAGCCTCTGATAATTCCCAGCCATACAAACTACCTTTATACGCAGTAATTCAATTACTTTTGAGAGAAGTAACTGGTATTTGTAACTAACTTGCACAACACTGATGATAACATAACGCAGTACAGCTTCTGCTTCAGACGTGACCGTTCAAAACAATGACGGACAAAACACTTATCTTGATATTCTTGACATTCGCTGGTCAAAAGTCTCGTAACTCCATTTGAGTTTGATTTCAGTAAAATAATAATAACATATGCAAGTATCTCACCAGATACTGAAACACAACAACAGCACAGTGATCAATTATTTTAAAAACAGATTTTTTACATTCCCTGAAGAACAAGGTTTCTGCCTCACAGTGACAATGGATGTGTGTGTGTTTACTTTGCCAGTGCAACAATACCTGACATGATATCTTGACCTCACGTCCGATCTGGATGTTGTCGTCATTGTGGTAAGGGTCAGGAGTGATCCAGAACCGCCCCTTTTTCAAAGCTGCGAAGACAGAATCCATTTCATTAGAACACGGGTTACATTTGTTTCTCCTGCAAAGTCTGCCGCACGACGCTGCAACAAACCCCGAGACATTTACTGGAGGTTATGGCTCTGCTTGTCATATTGATATGATTTCCGAGATGTAATCCCAAAGACAGGAGTTTATGGATTTTTTAAATAGATTTTTTACTTTGCTCAATGTCCACACTCAGGCTGTAAATCGCTGTTATGCATCTCCAGTGAATGAACTGTAAACCTGACTGTTGTTACTCAGCCTTTGAGGACTTTGTTCAAATGCAGAGGAAGACTGGGTAGTTTCACAGCTTCTTAACATGAGCGCAGCACCGTGAGCAAAACATATTTCTTGCTCATCCAGATGTGTCACTTCAGTAGTGGGGTCGTGGATTCATAAAAGTAGTATTAAACTGGGAGTGTAAGAGTAGCCATGGATATGACAACTGTAACTGTTCTTCTAAAACAACAACTGAAGGTTTAGCTTTTGATGGCGCTGACGGGTCAAACAGAGAACTCAACAGATGAAGCAGAATCGTATGTTTGTGTTTGAAGACGAAAGCTTTGAATCAACATTAATATTGATGGCTACGGGCCGAAGAATCCTACAGCATTCGAGCAGGTCCACACAAACTCACACACACACTCGTAAACCCACGCGCAAACACACACACTGTGAAATTGGAGAGATACCTAACAAAATATCCACCATTTCTAATCCAATTTGGTTTGCAAACTCCATTTTCAAAGCGAAGCTCCTCGGAACACAAAAAAAGAAGATGATTTCATTACAATGCATGCTGTATTGGTTCCAAACCCCGCACTTACTGTTCATCTCCTCAGCATAAAAAAAAAAAAAAAAAAAAGCTGACGGCACCATGGAAATCTTTTCATCTAGCAATTCCCGAGTGACATTATCATATTCAGTTTGGTAAAGGGAAAACGAAAACAAAACCTGCGTGTCAGATTTAAACACAGGAAATTGAATGTGCAAAACATTGTGATGCCTGCCGAGCTGCGCACTGAGGGGAGAGACGAGTGACACACGCCTCCTTGACATGATCTTCCTCCTCGCGTTTGAAATCAGCGTCGGCAGGCAAAGAATCCTATTTCTGACGCATGTCAGATACAAATATTACAAATTGTGTCGACACACAAAAGTCTCGCAAACACCGCTGTGCATTTGCATTCTTTCCTGAATGCCATATATTCTTATTCTGCCTATCAATCAAGTTGTATATATACCAATGGTGCCAGCATGGAAACTGTGGCAATTAACATAATATGGTAAGCAGCATATGTCTGTGACCTTTAAGGATGTGAGGATAATACAAGGCATTACCTACAACCCACGCTCATTTCCCATTTGGGCTCAGCTCTGCATCGCAGCGTACACCTCCTACATACACGGCAAGATTCAATTTCCTTTAAGCCAACAAACCCAGTATAAGGTTAATGAGTCCAACACAAAGTCAGTGGTGGAAGCCATTACTGTAAGGAAACAGATTTCCTTCAATCACACGTCAGCCGGCGAAAACACCCCGACAGAGTTGTAGTTCTATCATGACAGTCTGAAAAGGCTTTAGTGTCTCCGTGACATCCTCACCAGAGTTGGGAGCTGTCTCTTAAGAAAGCATTATCTCATCCACAAACACACACATATGGATTTCCACGAGCCATTGTGCTGTCACAGGTGACAGCGGATAAACATGCTGATTCTTTCAGCTCAGGTATATTCTTCACTCAATTTAAAGCAGCGTGGCACAAGCAGGCGCTACACAATCAGCGACCCGGCTCTGCTTCGCTGTGAGGCCAGATTTCATCTTGTTTGTGAAACCATCCTCTTGGTTTTCGCTGGTATGAACAGCCACACGGGGAGCGTAAAGCAGCCAAACAAATAATTGTCTGGAAAAAAATGTTGGCACAGTAAGGCTAAATAAAGAGCTTCCCACATCACTGATGGTCTGTCCTTTACTACAAGGACTGTACACTGCCATGTCTGTAAATGGTACATGTGATTGCCTTCTTGCACAAACGCCAATTATAGAGTGATTGCTTGGTTCAAAGCAGTGACTGCACTGTATATATTTATATATGGGTGGTTGGTTGGCTTACTTTGAGATAGATCTGGTCAGTAGCCAGGTGCAGACTGGCCTTTGCAGGGTTTTTCCTGGCTTAAAATAAGGCGGAGGTGGTGCCATCCTGATTATGTGCACACAAGTGCATGTGACTCAAGGAAACATTTTTACAAGCAATGTGTTGTAGGAGTTTTATTAAATCTGTGACTGAAAGAATATTTTACTTCCTATTTTAAATCATTTGCTTTAATCAGAAGGTGCAGTTATCTTCTCATGTAAGTAATAGTCTGTTTGAACTTTTGCACTGATAAAAAAAAAAAGTCTATTTCCTTACATTCATCTAGTGTAAACAGTATAAGACAGCGTTCGGAGACACACATAGAGGCACATGGAGTAGCACTCACAAATGCTGAGTTCGACTGCCTTTTGATAGAAAACTATCATCGAACTGCAAGAAAAAAGCCTTTTGTTTTATTAAGTGATTTTCTAACAGGTTGTGTTTGGACCCAAATGCAGCAAACAGGAAGCCAGGAACAGTTGGAATGACACTCAATGCCACAACTCAGCAGGTACAGGGCAGGGCAGGGCAGGTAATCAGCACATTACAGTTCAAGACTCCAGCGAAGTCTCTCTACAAAGTCTCTGGCAGCCCGGCTGGGTTGGCAGGCCAAACTGGCCAGGAAACAGGTGAGTGGGTGGTGAGGTTTGCCCAAACACACACGCTGCTCAGTTCAATGTCAGGCAACAGTACCGTGTAGGAGCAGGCGGAAGACGTAGCCATGGTGGAACCGGGTAAGACCACAGTCCAAGCAGATGAAGCAGTAGGGGAGAGGCAGAAGGCAGGTTGAAGCCGGGCAGAAGATTGAGAAGCCAGCAGGTAGGTGCTCACAAGACGCCAACACAGTGGTGAGTGTGGGGACACTGTGAGAGTCTCTTGACACAGAAAACCATGCTTAAGGCCCGTTTCCACTGAAAAAGTTCCTGGTACTATTTGGGGGGCAGGAACTTTACAGGAACGTCCTCTCACTCGGCCCTCTCAACCGCCGCGTCTCCGCTGTGCGGCGGAGTAGGAGGAAGGTGCCTGTAAAGTTACCAGGCTCTGGATGTGACGTAATCATTGCGTGACAATTTTGACCGGGGCAACACGGCAAAGAAACAAACAAACAAGAAGAACAACAAAGAAGAAAAGCAGAAGTAAGAAGAAGAAAGCAGACATAAGAAAGACGATTATCAACATGGAAGGAGCTGAGGTGGTTGCTGGGTTTCTGGCGTGTCTCTTCGTTTACATGGCGGTGGAAGCTATGAACGAGAGGAGAGGACATCTGCTGAGTTTTAAAAATGCCAGCTATTTTGTTGCTTTCTGTTGAAAGCAACAGGTCACATCCCGCCTTGAGTATATCCAATTGGCACCAAGTAAACCCCAAGCCCCACCCAGGAGTTTTTCGGGGCCGTTCTGAGTACCTACATCGAGGCAGGGACTTCTTTAGCCCCTGTAAAAGTTCTGGAACTCTGTCCTTCAGGGGTGGTTCCTGCGGTGGAGACACGCCCTGTAAAATTACCCCGAAGTTCCTGCGGTGGAAACGGGCCTTTAGACTGTTGCGCTGTTGTTGGACAGAAAAGCCAAGCAGCCACAGGCAAAAAGGAACCGAGGATGTGGAAGCAGATCTCAAGGTTGGGGACAAGAGGCTGGTGCGTTTACCAGGAATTAGACGAGACAGGAAGGTCAGAGACTGGAAATCAGTCTGGAATATAGTGCTCGAGAGACCTTCATGAGTGGCAAAGAACAATCTGGCAAAGAGTGTCTTTGAAGCTGGGGTATATGTACCGTTTGTGAGTAATAAGGAACAGGTGAACTGAGTTGCCTTGATGAGATCGGCATAAGAAGGCAGAAATGAGCAGGTGACTACTAATGCAGGACTGTGACAGATTTTTGGGCGTGGTGGCAAAGAACAAACAATACAAATAAACAGATTGTGTTAAGTTTTTTTTTATTAATGATTTAATTTTGCTGTGCCAGTTCGAATTTGGTAAATCACATTGGAGCCACCTGACAGCAAATTCTAGATCTGCCTTCTGTCGCCTCTCCGCTCATGTCAGCAGGTTCAAACAATCTGCAGATATTTAGCTGTGGAGTCTCAAGTTAAATAAACGGAGACATGAAACATGATGTTCTTGCTGGTGGCTGAAACACTTCTCAAGTCAGCAGATAATATTTGAAGTTCTATTAATATTTGTATTGTTGCTGACAGTTTTAGTTCTTTGAGATACATTTTATTTGCCTAAATTAAATTTAAAATCACAGTCACACATTTAGAGTGACACTTCTATAATCTCAATACAATTATCTTTCTACTTTTGCATAATGTGTGTAACACATCTCCCCTCTGTCTGTGTGTTTACTCTGTATCAGCACTTTCCACTCACCACCATGACTGATAAATTTAAACTGACATACATATGCTCATTAAGGAGGTCACAGCTCCAGGTAGGTATGAATTTTGAGTTTGCTTCAGAGGAAAATATCAATATGTTTAACAACACATCCATGTTATCAGCAGAAAACACAAAGAGGAGCTGGCTTAAAGAGAACTTTACTGATTTTCAACAAACTTTGTATCATAACAATTTGCCAGATGACGCAAAACGCTTCACTTGGTGGAGTTTCCCTGGCTCTCAGGCTGTTGCTTGAACTACAGGCTGTATTTTTGTATGACTTGCCACACCTGCTGCCACCACGGACACCAAGAGTATAGAGATGGAACATGAGATAGACTCGCCCCTTTCTCTCAAACTCAGACCAAACTCTGATCAAACGTTAAAACTAGGCAGTGCTGATAAAACAGAAACCAAGATGTTACTGCACTGCGTATTTCTCACTCAGAATGTTCAGAAACACATTTTAGTGCTCTG